CACACATATTTAAGAAATTGCACACCAGCTTGACTATATAAACTGCTGAGCATGCAGCAGCTTGCGTTTAGTTTTACTGGAGGTGGTAAGAACTACATGGTCTGGAAAGTCAGGCTTTGGGTTTCCTCATGAGAGACTCAGAAGGCTAAACATTGTTTAAATGTTTTGATTGTGGGATCTTGGCCCTCAGCTTGGAGCATATCCCGCCAGACAAACGGAAGTGTTGGCATTTTTTCCAACCCCAAAAAAAGTTTTCCATAATTGAAGAACTTCAATTTCAGAAAATGGGAAAAGTTCTTTTGTCCAAAGACAAAAGACTCATCTGATTCGAGAGTTCACACTTCTGTGTCCCCACTATAACAGAGAGGTATTTAATACCTATGGCCAAAGTAGCATGCAAATGAAAATAACAGTAGACAACTGTTTTACAAGATTACTTTAGAATTTCAGAGCTAAAATTAGTATAAACAGTTCAAAGCAGTTACACTGAGAGAGAAACAAATCACTTTCACACAAATCCTACAGTGCTAGAATACCAATTTTTTGAAGTAGAAAAGAGTAAATAAAGTAAATCACTCAATTTGATTGGTTTCTCAGCATAATAAAGTGCTGAAGCAGCACAGTGGAGGATTTGCTGGACAATTTTCTACACTGAAACTGTCAATTCATTCCCAAGCTTAGCACTGATGGATATTATGGATTGGTATGGATTGCACTGCTCCAACCATCTGAAAGGTCACTCGACAAACACAGCAGGAGTGACCTATTGTTCTTCCCATTGACAATCAGACTGCCGTTTTGACAAGTCTTTAAACTATCACAAATCTTTTCTTCAAGTATTACATGGAAATGTTTATCTTTGCTTTGTGGCACAATTAAAAGCTGGCATCTTAGGAGTTCACTGAAGCAGTCTTAATATCTCCTTGGATCACACTTGCAAAGCCATGGAAGCCTGAGAATCTAATAGTGAATGGATCACCCCTGACATCTGTCAACTATACCACTGAGTATAATCTTTTCAGTTCCATTTTAAGATCAGAAGGCGAAAAGAACTCAAGCTATTATCCCCAGCATAAAAATATGTTGGACTACTTCCCTTTCTCACCAAAAGACCACTGTTTCAGCTGTAAAAATGAAGCTTCGCTGCTGCAAAAAATCACAACCAATAAAAATTGATGGATTGAGACTATGACCTATTGCTTTATGGAGGAAGAAGAAAACCACACAAAGATGTAGTATTGGAAAATAAATAAGTACCTCTCATGTTATATTTTGGCATTTCATTTTGTGTGCACAGGTTAAGAGTAGATTAAAAAAAAACCCACCTAAATCATAATTTTAGGTTTATAATCTTAAATACGTTAATTGCTGCAAGATACTTCACATATGAGTTTGTCTAACACTTGGGTTGTTAGAATGATGTATTTCATGCCAAGCTTTAGCTCCAGCTTCCTCTCTATTAAAAATAGAGAACTTTAAATAAACATTAAGGTCTAAACAGGAAATCAGAGAATCATAGATCTTCAAGATCATCAAGTCCAACCATAAAATATCAAAGATCAGTTGTGAAATCAACTTCCTGAGTACTTATAGACCACAATCACCTCTCAAACAGGAGTGATTTTAGACTGACATAGATTAAAGACCTAACTAGGAATAGTTCTGGTCCCTTTACTTCACTGTGTGAATATAACATGCATTTCCAATTATATATAACTGTGTAGCATACACCTAAATTATTTATTTACACTATTTATTTATTGCAAAAAGCCAGTAAGATTTTTGGTACAAAAAATCAATGAAATAGGAAGCTTACTATAGAAATATTCCTTAAAAGGACATTAACATTTCTCTTCTGTGCAGTGACAGTTAACAAACACCCTTTTCACTATTCTCTCTCCCCCAAGAAAAAATACAAGTACAGCAACATTCATGAAAACAAGTCCTTACTGAAACTCTTGGCTACACTGATCCAATTGCTCTCTAAGGCCATTTTATGTACTAAAGAAATGGTTGTGGGAAATACTAGTACATAACAGATTCCTCAACTGATGTAGAAAGTATTTAACTGCTCCTGCTGTGTGGACAAGTCCATTTTTATGAAATGAATGAAATTTCCTGAACAGGTTTTCGTTATTCTTTTGTGATTCTTATAAAATTCCAGAATATATAATTTTGGTTTTTTTCAGAATACGAGGCTTTCCTTCTACTCTTACATTTCAGATAGACCTATTCAAAACAAACAAACAAGTTTAACAACGACAACAAAAATTAAACCAGTATATTTTGGAGTTGAAATGCTGAGAAGGGTCAATCACCGAGGAGTTATACGTCACTGGCTAAGAACTCTGAATCAAAATCTGTTTGCTGCAGATGGAATGCAACATAATCCTGGTACAAAAGGAATTTTTCTTTACTTCAACTCAAACAGCTAATTCTCTTTAATAATGAACTCATTCTAGATTAGGAACTGGGAAAAAAGGCATAAAAACTTATTCTCTTTTTCTTTATGGTGACTTCGGAGATGATTACACCTAGTTGTACTCCAAGTGCTAAGAATGTAGTGAGGATATCAAAGTTTTCTGAATACAGGTATTATGTGCTTAGTGTAATGAGTTGTTCACCATTGAAAACTAAAATTGTTTTGATAAACTTACATTTTTTAATTCAAATAATTTGAAGCATTGCAGGTTTTTTTCTCATCATTCCTGAGCAATTTTAACATCCCAATGTTTTTCTAAAAGCATCTTGCCCAAAAGTTTCTAAAATTGTAATAATCTAGTACACAAGAAAAGTACTTTCTGGTATTGAAAATGGTAAAGAAGCTGAACAAATCCATGCTACATTATATTTGTGTGTATGGAGTCCTCTAGGACCAAGAACCTTTGGACAAATTACTTTCTTCAGCAAGTTTTATTGAATAATAACAGATATAATTTTGGGAAAACTCAGCAGCAGGGGACTAGCTAGGAAAAAAAAAACAGATTAGATGACACAGTGGAGAATTTACATGCTGTAAGGACTGGAAGTCAGAATGTCTCCTATTATGTAGAGCAGTGAAATCTCTAAGCTTTTAGAGAATTTATGAGCCAAATAAGTCTGGTTGGTCAAGAGAGATGGTACCATTAAGATACTGTTGGATATAAAGGCACCTTCCAGACTGAGGTGAGTTAAAAGGCCTGAGGGAAGCAGTGCCGAGTTGGGGAAAAACTAGCTTCTACTGCTTCGCATAGCATTCATAGGCAGGAACCAAGAGGTGTGGTTAAACTAGGGTATCCCACTAATTTCTGGTAGACTGCTTTCAAAAACACAGAAGGAGACTCCTGAGTGCCCCTTTGGCAAAAAGCAAATAGAAATGTAACCTACCTGAAGGACTAAGGTACAACCTAGACAAAAAAACCCCATAATACTCTGTAATTTGATTTCTCCTGAAGCAGGTTCTTGAGAATAGTGAGCCTGCTACAGGAACCAGTCAATGAAAATGAATGTTACAGAGAAACAACTGAAAAGTGTAATTGCAAAAGCAGTTTAAAACTGGTTAATTAAATCCAAAGCACTTGGTCATTAAATAATGATTAACAATGGTAACTGACACACAGGCAAGTTAACAGATGTAGGAGGATCTCAAATCATTTGGGTCTTTCCTTAAAGCAAGCACTACAAAACTCCCAAAAGGTCCTTTCTAAACTCTAGAGCTGGGTTTCTTTAGAAAGTGACTAAACCGTAACATTAAAATGGTAAAAATAAAACTCAGGAGGGGACATGATAGCAATTCAAGGATCTGTTAATATAACCCTCATTCCCACTATGTCCTCACAAGGTGAGCACTTTCCTACATCATCTTTCATTCCAGTAACTAAGTAACTTTTATTTTCTGAGGGTAACCTCTGAGTCCTTACGAAACATATTTCTTCCATTATCTCTGAGGACTGGGCGTTTGTTCCCTACTTTCTGAGAATTCTCTGTCTGTCTGATTTTTGCAGGCTGCTTGCTGAGCCTCAGCTTTCACTCTTCTCTCCTGTGCCTGTCCCTCCACGCACCATATAAAATCTCTTCCCCCACAAATGGCATCCTTTCTTTGTTATCCCATCTTTCTCAAGGGTAGCCCCTGGGAGAAGGTAAACAAGAAGCTGTCTCAAATACCCAGCCACATGCATTTCAAAGCAATACAATGTGGTAGAAACAAGAATCCTCCCCAATCCTATTGCCTTCAATCCCATTAATAAGTTTGAGACAGTCAAAAGAATAAATCCATGCTACAGAAGTTTCTGTCTTGGTTTCTTTATAATGCTGGGCAGAGATTTGTAAGCCCATCCTAGAAATCCCTAATTTCTCACAGAAGATGAGTCGGGTTCACTAACTATAACATTGTTCTCACAGTGGGAAAAGGATGTAAAAGTGCCCACATCATTCAAACTCCCAAATGTTCCTGCTTTAAAATGTGTATCACTAGGTGAAAAAAAGCTGTCTTTCGAAAGTATAGTATTAAATGTCAAATTCATTAGTGACATGACCTGAAATCATTAGGTCTTTCTTTCTAAACTCGCTGCATATGTGATGTTTGGATTACTATATGTGTTATTTTAGGATCAAAATGAAACCACAGAGAAAACCTTGTGCTTTATTACTGTGTATCATTTTTTGAAAGAATGACTCAGGCATTGATATTTAGGCTACTTTCAAGTCAAATATTTAAAGCCCACATCCTAACCATAAGCACGCTTACTGACATATTGGAAGGTCACTGGAACGTGAGAAGAGAGAGAGGGGTCTAAGCAAAAGACCTACAAACTAAATATCTTCTGCATTGCAGGAAGGCACTGGAAGAAAATGGAACTGTTTTCTTGTATTTTCATCAAAGTACTGAACAGGTTCCAAACAGTTTCAGATGTATTAAAAATCAGGCCTGTGGCATTCTTGTACATTCATATTTCATTAGGTGCAATGACTTTATCTTTTCTCCAGTTAAAAATGCCATTTAAATTGGCTGCTATACTTACTCTTTCACTGTCACAATATAGCCGTATTCCTTCTCCTCAGAAGACTTCACTTCAAGTTGTAAGCCTTGTCCCATATTTTTCTGAGGTTCTTCATAGGAGCTTCCATCCTGCATTAAAGCATTCTTAATCCAGTAGCTGGTCTTGCTTGGGTCTTTGGAGTCAGATTCACTGTTCTTTACAGCTGGCAGTTCCCTCGAGAAAGTCTCACTTTTTACATTTTCCACACCAGCATTTATTTCTTCTGAGGAAGAAGAGTCAGTGTCTTCAGATTTCTTGGTTTCTGTCTTAGTAGATTCTTCAGGTATAAGGTCTTTAGGCATATTTTCATGTAATGCATTCTCATTCAAGAAGTTAACTAGTTTTGCAGTCTTCTCCTGTATTAAAAGAACATTATTGTGTTTAAAACTAAACACAGGAATGTTATACTGAACCAAACCTGGATATAATCTTTCAAACTCTTACTGACATGGTGGTCTATTCATACAAATGTCTCATGGTCATTTTCTTAATCTCTATATGCTGCCAGACTATGTAAGAACATAACATTTACTCAGTCATAATAAAAGAGCATTAAATTATGCCACTGTATTTTTCAATATTTTAATAAGGGCAAAGTAATTCTATAGTTAACAGTTACTTTCTTCTTCAAATATCACAGAATTTAGACAGCCTTTTCTCTGTCTTAAACAGCTAGAAGAAAATGCTGGTGGTATTTTCACAGTGTCCATTTTCATGTGTCTGTGTGCTTAAGTGTTGATGACAATAAAACTTTGTCATCAAATAAGTTACTGAAAAAGGAGAAATAATAGAAATATCCATCAATATGCCTAAGTGTTAGGACTGGAAACATGCATACCTCTTGGGTCTCACAAGTCATAACACAGGAAAGGGAACAGATACTATCTGATTAATTAGATTTCACTTATTCATCTCTAGAAATTGTGACAAACTGTTTGTGAGTGATCCACTAAGCTAAACATACAATCACAGATAAAAAATCTGTTTAATAAATTGAAACAAAAAGCAAATCAACAAAAGTCAAAACACACACCTGGAACAATTTGTTAGCTAGTTTCATACATTTATTACAGTCAAGCATTTGGGAGGAAATGATGGCTAATGGGCACTTTGTGCTCTGTGTCACAATACATTCTTTTCTATTACATCCCCTGTTCCAATTGTCACTAAGAAATCTATATATGGGATCCTATGTAAGTCTGCTGTGAATGCAGTACTTCATTCCTTGAAGAATTTCATGTGCTTGGTTAATGCTCTTGTCACATTGTCCACTTGTGTGTTTTCCTTGCTTGGTAGAAAGGCAGCTACTAAAGAGATTTTACCATGAACACAAGAGGGTTTGACCATTTCTGAGTTTTGCAGTGTCAGCTTTTAATAGAGTATATTGTAGGAGAAGTTTCATGTGAATTTTAAAAAATATTTCTTTGAGATTTTTCTGCTCCATGCACCTTGAAAAGGGAAGATGAATATACTTCAAACACGGCTGAATATTGGACAAGTCTGTAAGCTATGATTCAAAGCTCATGAAGAATATTGTAAAAGTAATCTGGGGTAAAATCCCAAGTTTGGTGTTACCATCTTGGGTAGGAGATGTAATGCTTTTGAAATACCTGTGATATTCCACTATTTAGAAGAATTAGTGGTAAAGTGAAAAACTGAAGAATGACAGATCCTGAATGACAGATCCTTTGAAAGGAGAAAGAATTTTGAACCCTCCCATAAACACATGCCCTCAGAAGGAATATGTTTACTCATTTGCTCATGAAAAACAGAGAGATTATCTGAGAAGGATTCTTACGTTCCACAGAAGTAAGAGCAAAAGGACAGGTGAAAGCAGGGCATTTTCAAGAACACCTCAATACTCAAAAATTTACTAACCTGAGGGAAGTTTGCATTTGTCTAAACTTTGGGATCTGTTATGAATTTTGTCTACTTATAAATGAAAGAAAGGCAAAACAGGACTTGATTTTGGTTTTTTGAACTGCAAAACTCATTTTAGTTAAGGTTTAAATAAATGTTCATTTAATATTTCTATGTATCAACAACAATATGCCTATGCTGTGATATTGAATTATGTCCACATAAGACACAGAATAAGTCTCATATTTCAGAAGTATGTTTTTGACCTTCGCTGCATATAAACCCGACATTCTGAGATGGAATACTTGCTTTATTAAAAATACTGGTACTCTACCTCTTTATCGGTTCTTGCACTGGCTTCACGGACTCCATTGTCTGTAGGATATGAAAATGGGAATACATACTCATGAAGGGAAAACACCATATATGAAACAAACACTTCTTATAGGCTGCATTGTCATGGTGGTCTTTTCATGCAATTTAAACATTAAGACATCAAAGCTGAAAGGGCAGAGTAAAGAGCACTGCATAGTTCAGTATTGTTATTCTAACCCCACTTCGATAGCAAATTAATGCAAGATCAATAGACAGAGTACTTCAAGAGCCAATGTAAGATTGTTATTTTGCTAATTAAGTGTCCAATCGTCATATCAGTTTATCAATAGCTAAGAAAAACACAATAAAACGGATTTAGTTGGCTGAATGGATATTTACATTAAAGGAAAAGGAAACGCATGCATCCCTCACACACATTTTGGTGGAAGACAACTTAATTCAATAGGTTTTGTCTACCAAAACCATGTTACAGTTTACAGTGATGATATGCAGTCACACCATTGACCTCAGTCAAACAATGCTGGCTTTTGGGTTTATGAGCTGAGTCTTACTCATCTCTCCCAGCATGATTCAAAACAAATGCTCAAGTCTGCTTATTTGAATCTACAAAAAGAATTGGCAATTAAAATAACCAGAATATCCCTAACTAGTAAGGATTTCAGTATATCACCATGAAAAAAGACAGTAAGTTAAAATTGCTGTTTATGACTTACAGCATATGTTTTTGGTATCCTAGATATAACATTCCTACAATAGAGAACAGGTGAGTAGGAACTTATGTCCCACTGTGGTATCAACTCATTAATGGCAATTGCTGTAGCTCCTGAATCTGCCAGACCAGGAAAATATGTGTCCAGACAGAAGCAAATAACCATAACTCTTTTATTTCCCTAAGCAGGAAAGGGAATGAGTATATTTCTACCTGTACCTAAGACTTACTTCTGCAAATAATTGTGGTGCATTAAAGAATTATTATTTGTAAAATATAATTATTTTTCCCACATATTTTGAAATACTTTCTGGGAATATAATAATTTTTCATTATCCTTATGCTTAAACATTTCATTTTCAAGAAAGAGAAATTAGACCACACAGCATAAGACAATTTGTATTTCGATATAATCGGGTGTGTAGGTTTAACTTGTTCGTGAATCTTGAAGACCAAGGGTTCACAAACAGGTGCATTTTTGGTAAATAAAGTACCTGCTGTAAAAAGAAAACCACAAAGCTAAAATTCTGCAGCCTTCGAGGAAGAATACAGAAACTTTCCCTCATGTCTTCTTTAAAAGCAATTTTAAAAAGTCTAGCACTGATGTGAAATAATAAAGGAAAACTAGGATAGCTATCTTTTGCTGCACTTAACTCGTAAAATTAATACCTGGTATATTAACACTGTTTTCCATTAATCCAGTCTGAACCTCTGCCCTTCCTTGAGCATCTTCTTTCTTCATTTGTGCTTCTGTCTTGTTGTCTTTAGTTTTTCCAGCACCCTCTTCTGTTTCTTCCTGAATGCCAACAGTTTGAACTGTATTGGCAATAGTATCAGCAATCTCATCCAGTTCTGCTGAGCTGAGATTCTCCACATTCACGTGGTGTTTCTCTAGGTCCTTCAATACATCTTTAATAAGTGTCTCTGGATCACAAAACAACATAAGCACAAGATTTAGCTGCATACATGAAGCACATGCATTTGTACCAGTAAGTGTCTTTCATTTTTCCTACAAGATATCTTTTCCTTCATGTAGAGAGTCTGTTTTCCAAAAGAGCATACACACATTCATGCTGCCATCTTCACAGAAAACACAGTATTGTAAATGGATGTCAGAGTTTATGACAAGTTGAATGCGTGTCAGGCACTGGGGGATGTATGCCACTGCAACCCAGCAAGTTGTCCTAGAGAGAGGGGTATAAAATTGTCACTTTTTCTTTACAAGAGCATTGTTCCCTAGTCTAAACTGACTCAAAATACTGAAGACAAGTGTTAAGGTAGCTTAACTTTTTTTATCTGCACTAAGACAGAGCAAACACTACTACTGTTTATTAAAGATCATGTTTCTTAAGTGATTTGGGTTTTGAAAGGTAAACAGCTATATGAATTCCTGGAGAAAAAAAAAAAAAAAGCTATATTTTGTCTTTCAATCAAAAAGTTCCTCTTCAGTCAGAAGTGGATATGGATATATGTCCATTATATACATGGATATGTAATGGGCAAACCTTTTAAATTTTATTGATTTCTCTTTCAAAATACATATTCTGTCAAAAGTGATCTTTACTGTTTTGATTTGTCAGCTATGAATGTTTTACCAGTCACATTGGGGAAAGAAATGTTAAGATGAAGTTCCAGGCCAGGAAAAGCAAATGGACTTATATTTAGGGGAGAAAAACAAAACAAAACAACATAAAAATCTTGATGTGAAAAAAAGTTTTGAAGATGAGGAAATTCAGGGACATGGATATTAAAGGTGAGTTAGAAGACGTAGCATAACAGCTCTTCAGGGAAGGTACTTTTCTGACTGCATATATTGCAGATATCCTTTAGTACCATTCTGTATAACTCTGCAAAACTCAGCCTAATCTCCCTTGGCATGTGAGACACTAAATGTGGGGCTTACTCTAGCACACTAACACCATTTTCAGTCATACCCCTGTTCTGCTTATTCATGCAGAGTAGGAATTTAGCATACATATGCATTTGCATGCAAGCAAAAAACCTCTGTCACATAGGTAGTACTGTGTAAGAAGAGGAAGATACAGACTGCTTTTAAATCTGTTGAATGTATGAATTTATATATAAGCAGTTTGAAAGCACCATCCAACCTTTTTTCTTATAGTAAAGTTCTCGCTGTTAAGCCCAGTGGTTGGACAAGTTCGTCAGCATCTGTAAATAAGAGTTTGGGATGATGCTGTCAGCTTTCAGACTTATGTAAAAGTGAATTAAAAAGTAGGTGTGCAAAGGGGAAAACACTGCCAGAAAAAAGGCTAAAGAGAAGGTTTTGCTTTTCACAGCAAAGGAGGAAGAAGTAGTTAAAGACTAGGAAAGAAGTAGTTACAGACTCTTCTGCTGCAGGGAAGAGGCAGCAGAATATCTGTGATTTTTCGGGGGGACAAGAATCATAGAATGCACTGGGCTGGAAAAGACCTCCAAAGGTCATCTAGTCCAAGCCCCCTGCAGCGAGCAGGGACATCTTTAGCTAGATCAGGTTGCCCAGAGACCCATCAAGCCTGATCATGAATGTCTCCAGGGATGAGGCCTCAAGGATTATTTGAAAGAATCAAGGATTATTTATCATTGGGAAAAAAAGGCCAAGACCTTGGGCACGTCTCTCATTTTTTGGACACCACAGTGTTAGCTGAAGAGGCTAGAGCCTGCAGCTGACCATCAGCTTCTCAATGCCATCTTCAAGGTAGAGATTAATTTCCCCCAACCTGACCCATAATTCACCAATTAAACTAATGCAAATTTCCCTAAACTAATTAATCAATATGAACCAAGATAACTTCAGCAGCTTAAATAATAGGTTTACTGTGATTCAAAGATGGTTTTGACACAGGAGGAAGGTGGTTCTTTGATATACTGTCTTTTCCAGGTTAAAAGGATACAATAATTCACCACGATTATGTTACAAAATTCTACTGATTTCATTATAAAATTCAGCTGAGGTTGTATGCGGTGAAGTTTTGAAATTTACTTTAAAAAGCATAGTTCTAAACACACCTAAGTGTGACTATCAAAAATAATAATAAAAAAGGGCTAAATCTGTGATGCTGCTTCAAACTGTGGCAGACAACAAAACTTACGGTACTGTAATGAAATAGCAGAGTGCTTTGTACAGGAAAGCAAGTGATCACTAACGAGAGTCAAAGACTAAATCACAAACAATCTATGTCAAACTCTCTGGGCCAAGATATTTTAAGGCAGCAAAATTAGGACTGAAATTTGATGGAAGCTGAGTAACACTTTGAATACTTTCCATATTTCATTGTATTGTATCCATCCCCTGTTATTAATTAGATAATACAGTAAAAACATAATGACCAAATGCTTTTGTTTATGAAGATAATCTACAAAGGCAAATTGATCCAAAGTGCCATAAAAGTTTTCACTAGATTCGGCCAAACTGAGTTCAAGAAACTTTTTCAAGAAGCGTAACAACTACCTGGAAGATGGCCATTTGGAGAAGATGTTACATATCGCAGCAATGTAGGAAATTGTGCTGTAGGAAATAGTAGCACTGCCAGATTAGTGCAGGAGCCTTGTATCTGCTTACATATCATTTCTGTTCTTATGTTTTATAGAGCTATCAGACAATAACCTGACAGAAAAACCTAAATCATTGAAGCAGAGCTAATAAAGTCAGCGAAGACAAGACAGAATATATGTCAGTTCCAAATCAAAACTAAAATTTTTCAACTGAAACATCAATATTGGAAGACAAATATTAAAAAAAAAACCATTATATTTCAGGATATATATAATTAAAAGAGCTTTACTAATGTAGGATTACTAGGTTTTCATTTATTTCAGTTGTTTCACAGCCAGCTGTCAAGACCAGCTACTGAGCTACTCAACAGCACGGTCAAAATAGCCTTGTCTTTTCCATTCCATTTCATTTTTTCCAAACTAACTTTTCTCTTTATCTATTATCTTAGCGAAGTCTTATCTCTTCAGTCCACTTCCACAGATTCATACTCAATAACAAAGCAGTCTCAATCTCAAGCAAAATGAAAAAGGTGGAATGGGGCAGGGAATCACACGAGAAAATGAGTGTCCATAGGCCCTCCTCCAGATAATACTAACAGGCTCACTGTAGGTCCTCCTGGTTCATTAAATAAAACTGTTATAGAGGAGCCTCCTGCTCCTTTGATGCTGCTATTTCTGCCTTGCCCAATGCCACCTGGGCACAGTTCAGCAAATGAACTCCTAAATACTTGTATCAAAGTGAGTAAAACTTAGGCATTATATGTTTCCTTTACTGAACAACTACAAGTTTGACTCACAATGTCAAGGACCAAAGGTGATAACCAAAGCTAGTAAGTATGAGGAACATCATGTTTTCAGTATACTAGGAGGAACAGTCACCAAAATGTCTAACAGTCTGGTAAAATTGAGGTCTATTTAAGGAGACTACTTAACTTCATGAGGTTACTGATATGATGTCAATACATGTCTATGTTAAACGTGGATGTTTCCACTTCTTGTTATGGCACTTGTTCATGTTTGTATATCATTTGCATATTACTGGAAAAGGCTGAGACACAAATAGATACCAGTGCATCTATTTACAGACACCTTCGACTAATTTAATGAAATTATGATAAATTTACTAAAATCGGAAAATATTGTTGGAGAAAGACCAAAAAGCAGATGGATACTGCAATGGCACATCACTTAAGCAGTACGTGTACTCAAATGTGCATGTACCGTGCACAGCCCTTATACTCTCCCACTGACCCCTTCTAAACAGAATCAGAAATGCTCGGCCATGTTTCACAGGGCTCGTACTGCAAACTAGATTTCTCACTTAGCTCCAGCTTCTGAACTGAAGAAGGCAAGTTGTCTTTCATAGTTGCCTTGGAACCATGACGACAGTAAAGGACATGTAATTTTTAACAGCAGCGTCACCAGCAGAATTCCCTTAGTAGGTAATAAGAGCAGCTTAGCAAAAGAAAAGTGTATAAATCATGCTCCATACTCTGTTGACACAACTGCCAAAGCCATCTTGCCTGACAACCATGCATACCATACACCAACGGTACGGCAGCAGTAAACTTGCTAGCAGTCCCACAGGGTGATCTGTCTTCTTCTACTCCACCACCCTACTCACAACATATTAGCTCTCCTCAACAGCTGAGCACGATACAGATTGGTGACCACAGCTTCGCAAGACAGAGGACATACAAAAATATCTTTGCTATATACACATGGAAGTTCATTATTTTTTGAAAAAAAGACATCTGAATTACTAATTTTGTGACCTTTCCAAAGCAATGGAAAGATGTATTCTGTAATATTTAACACACCAAAAATGAGTAGACTAGAACAAATTACTTAAAACTGAGCCAAATTGTAAATATGGCTAGTGCAGAAGACAGAGTAACGATTCCACTATTGCAGTGTCCTGGTTTCGACTGGGATAGAGTTAATTTTCTTCCTAGTAACTGGCACAGTGTTGTGTTTTGGATTTAGGAAGAGAATAATGTTGATAACACACTGATGTTTTAGTTGTTGTTAAGTAGGATCACACTAAGTCAAGGCCTTTTCAGCTTCTCACCCCTCCACACCAGCAAGTGGGCTGCGGGGCACAAGAAACTGGGAGGGGACACAGCCAGGATAGCAGGCCCCGAACTGGTCAAAGGGGTATTCCATACCATATGATGTCATGCTCAGTGTATAACCTGGGGGGAAAGCTGGCCAGGGGCCAACGCTCATATCAGTTGGCAGGTGGTGAGCAACTGCATTGTGCATCACTTGTTTGGTTTATTCTAATTCTTTTATTATTAGAATTAATATTATTATTTTCCCTTTCTTTTCTGTCCTATTAAACTGTCTTTATCTCAACCTGTGAATTTTACTTTTTTTTTCAATTCTCTCCCCCATCCCACTTTGGGGAAGATAGTGAGCGAGTGGCTGTGTGGTGTTTAGCTGCCTGCCAGGTTAAACCATGACACACAGTGACTACAAAAACAGTACCCATGCACATCATGCTACTCCTAGAATTAACGGTTTCCAAATCTGATAGAAAAATAACTCCACATTTCCTTCTCCTGTATTTCTCCCTCAGGGTGCTTTGTTAGCTAATTTACCTGCCAGTGTTTCGTGGCAATTCTCAGTGCTAATCTGCTCAGTACCTTCTGGATTGTTCTCCCAGTGAAGTTCCTTTGTTCTGATACAGTCTAATCCTGTATCAGATGCAGCAGAGAACTGAGTTCATTTGACTGCACCCCATGCTTTCCAGGTTTTGAACAGTTCTGTAGTTTAGAGAGTGTGAGATAGAAACAATCCACAAGCATATAAAAATCCTGAAGCACCAGAGAGATTGGAGAAAGGTTAAAAGCAGAAAGAGATGGTGCAGTCAGCCTGGCAAATATGAATCCAAACCATCATCATTCCAATGGACAGCATTTTAAACAACGAATACACTGGGGTCTGTCCTCACCACTCCTTTATGAGACTATTAAGTGTCTCAAAAATACAAAGGGAACCATATTATTTCCTACTCAAATGATTCATAATTTATGTCTATGCAACATTTAAAAGCTAATGCAATGGAAGAAGTTCCTACAGGGCACATTATGTATGTGAAGTCAAAGTAGTACAACCCAATGAGTTGTGAAACATGTTATTCCCTCTAAGTGTTAAGCATTTTTTTCCCGGTTGGCTCCTACCAGGAAAGGTGAAGTGGAACAGCTGGAGGATAATGAAACCAGCATGTGCCTAGTTTGTTTTGAGTCTAGCAACAAAATTGTCTAACCTGTGCAAGAGACTTACAGTGCCACCTGGATTTGATTTTACATTATAGTTCGTTCCTTGAAACCTATTATCTCTGGGCACCATACCAAGAATGCTTTCACTTTTGAGCATCCGTTAGACTGCAAGCATTGTTTTTCCTCTGCTGCAACTTTGACATTTCTGTGTGTTCTGTTTCTAAAAAACAAAACAAAACCAAACAAATCAAACAATGTTAAACTTTATGGATGATAATATCTACAGAAGGGAGTCAAAGGAACCCTCTTACATATCACCAAAATCCATTGGGATAGTGGTGCCTATGTTTTAACAGATGTAGCTGCTTGGCAATGGCTGAGGATCAATTCTTTCACTTTTCAGGCATTCTGAACCACTGGAATAACATCAATAGTTAGATTAGTTTAAAGAAACATAAAGTGAGTAAGAGTTATTTTCTAAACACTACCTGCTATCCAGCCATGATGTGAAGACCCATCTTGTCTTTACAAAGGAGTGCTTAAAGTGTATCACAGCATCCCGTGATATGTTACACTCCATCTTTATTTAAATATTTGTCAAACTATCAAGTCCAAAAAGAAATCAGGGTCTGGCCATTGTTAAACAGCATTAGCAAAAAAAAAATGACAACCCAGCAAATGGGTTGTTACAGAATATCCAGAAAAAACTAGATGTAACCCCACCTTCTTGTATTGTTCTGTGTCCACCTAGCCACATAATTGACAGACTCCTTCCCTCCCTGTGTTACGCGCCAGAATTTTTCTCAGTGCTCATTTCTGTGTCTAACTTTGAACTTTACCCATGGTCCTTGAATTTCTAGTTAAATACAGAGAAATGGAACAAAACCAGGCATTTCTATATTACCTACACATAGTGTGGGATGCATGCATAAAACCAGATTTGATAGCAAAAATATACTCAAAATTATGTGTTGTTTGTAAAATGCTTTGAAAATATAACAAGTTACATAAACGCTACATCTTACTGAGTGCCATATATTTTGCATGCATATGGAAGGTGGGTTGAAGTATGTGGGTAGATATTTGCAAGGAAAGAGTAGTTAGAGTGGCGAACATTATTACTGTGAATATTATGATAGGTATAAATATGCCAATAGTAGGAGATATATCAGAATGTTTTGGTTTTTTTTTTTTCTTTTTTCTCAAAAATACTCAGTGAACATGAGGGAAACATCAGATAAGTTAAAATAAGTAAAGATCGACTTTACCATCCACTACACTCAGAGGGTCCTTTGGATCATCCTGGGAAGCAGATTTATGATTCAGCATCTCAGGGGTTGGCCCCAGCACTCCAGTCCCAGGTATTGGCTGGAACAGCTTCTTTGTTTTAAAATCTTCTGCTTTTCCTTTGGCAAAAGCTCCATCAAAAGGACTTACTTGCGAGGAGTAGAATCTATCAGCATAAATGTGAGACCCTTTAGTCCTGCTGCGAGAGCTTTTATCATTGCTTTGTGCTGACAAGTTCTGAGTGATGTACGTATGCAGTGCAGCCAGCAGATTTTTTTGGTTGAGCCCCATTTCTGACTCTGGCGAGAACTTGTCTGGCTGAGGCTGGTTGAATGTCCTCCCACTGAGATCTTCAGCATGCTGTTGACGGGATGTTGATGCACGGGCCAAAGGAGGTGCTCGCTCTTTGGGTTTCTGCATCATGTAGTACCTGATAGGATCATTATAGACGTAGCTCTAGAGTGAGCAGAAGGTATAAAAAAGAACTGGGTCATTATTGCTTTGTAATCATTATTGTTATGCAGGAATCACAGGCATAACCCTTTCACCAACCAGGAAAACAATAATTAGAATCTGTAATGTGTATGTAGATTGCAAATCTCAAACTGGTAAATTTGCTTTAAAGAGGCACTACCGCTTTGGTGCAAACTTTGTAAAACAGTTTATTAAATTAATAAAAAGCAAGAGGAAGAGATTAGAGAGAGAATGATACAACTCAGACTTGCTGTTAACTATATATGCACTATTTGTATTCAGTTAGACAAATAAATTTAGTAAAGCCACTTTCCCTTTGCTTTTTACTAGACTTGTGAGAATAACTTTTTTTTTCAGATTACTTACCAAAAACTAGCAAGTCAAATAAAAAAAATAAATTTTTAAAGAACACCAAGGAAGCGAAACAATTCTTTTTTAATTGAATAGAACAACTGTTCTATTTTATATGAAGTTTTTTTTCCCCCACTAAATTAAATCTCTAATCAATATGCCCTCTGACAGTATAAAGACATGTAAAAACAGCCTTTAAATTGGTTTTTAATTCATTTCTTATTTTCAGGTAAAACAACTCAGCACATAGAACAAGAATGTAAAAAATGTTTCAATCAAGCTAAAACCACATTTTTGTTGAAAGTGGAAAGGCGGGCTGGCACTAGTTTTCTATTTTCAGTTTCAGATTTTCAAGGATGCACCAGACAGGAATCTAGCATTGCAAGACAACATCTATTGTTTTCATTGACCTTTATTTTTTGTTGTTGTTGATGATTAAATTTAGTTTTGAGGACAAATTCTAAATTCCCCTTAGGTACTTTGAGCCTCTATCCAGCACAGGAAACAACAAACTCATTAATTGGTACTACATTTACTATAATTTAATCCTAGAGACGTTTTTGTTATGATCACAACCTGAAGGCAGGACTTTTTTTTTTTTTTTTTTAACGTATTGGTTCCACCCTCCTAAATAATTTCAAAAATCATTTTCCTTCACTCCTGCTAAATACAAATTCGAACTGAGAGGTTTACTTATGTTCAGAATTATTCCAATTAGATTCTTTGTTTAGAATTCCTTCTGGATACTTTGCTGAAGCTGCATCTCATACTGTGTGTGTGTTGAAGAACGGGTCCTGCTTCTCAGCTGTGGTTTCTTGGTTAAACTTTCATACAAACTACATTACAACGTGGGAAACTTAGGACAGGCATTATTTCCTCTCTCACTGCTATAAGTTATAGTGGATCACTGGTGTCCCTGTGCACTGGTAGCATAAAAGTTTAGGACAGAAAGAGCTGCAAAACACATAGAGTGCAGACTATACGCCCCAGAGGACAGCAATTAGTAGAATTTGGACAGAAAAAAATCATTATTTATATATTTCCTAATAGACTTTGTAATGGCAAAATAAGTAAGGCTGATAAGCTATTCCAGAGATGAATAAAAATTTTTAGCTTTTATCTAGTTTTTTATTTATGGACACTAATTTTGCTCTCCATCTGAACCATTTTATTTCTTCTGATAATAGTCAGTTGATTTTATAATATATATTCATAACCTTTGCTTTCCAAGAGAGTTATCCTCCCCCTGAGAAATGATTGAAGAGGTTCATTCCATGGTTCCATATCATGATTTGTAGATTTATGGCTTATGCAACTTTATTACAGAAAAAAGTCACTTTGGCTTCTTTGGCTTGTGATCCACCAACACAAGGCTTTTGACTTCTGCAGGTGGTCTTTAACACATAAACATGTTTTGTTAATGCCAAGAAAATGGGCTAGAGTAAGACAGTGTCAAAGAATTTAGAGCTAGAGATCAAGCAGCCTTGTGCATGAAATATTTTAATGTCCCCTGGGAACTGTATCAAACAACAGCAATGTAGCTCTGGTTCAGTGCACCAGCTGCAGGGTACGTGCTGCTCTGATCAACACCAAGAGGGGAGCCAGTTGTCAAAATACAAGTTGAACGCTGTTTACATACTTAATAGCAAATCCTAGATCTGAAAAACTACTAGTCATATGTATTTATCTCTCAATTTCAACAGGTCTTTGCATGGGGTAATTAACTCTCTAATGATACTCACTGCCTAGAAGGAATGGCAGAGGACACAAAGCAGTTCCAGACACATCAAGTAGTTTACAGAGAATTCACACAAACTGCTGCCTGCCTTTCCTACCCCTGTACTCCCTACCTTGCCACCTTTTGGAGGACCTTCTAGGGACAAGGGAAGGAAGAACAGGGTGCTGGGAAAGGGAGAAACATGATGGGGGGGAAGTGGACATTCCCTGTTTGGCCACGGAAAGCCATTGAATCAGCTCGATCCAGGTTGTGTAACTACACCCTAATTTGGATCTCTGTCCTGTATCCAGCTGACTCTTTTTACTTCAAAGCTTTAATAATAAATCGAGTCGGGGGGGGGGGGGGTGGGGGGGTGGTGCAAAACTGCTAAACACTCTCAAAGCACTTGTGAAAGATTAGGGTCAGGAGACGTGAGCTGGCTTTTGATGAGCTATTTAACAAGTCCAAATATCCTTTAACATTAACAGATCTGTGATTTCCTGCTATTGCAGGCAACAAGCACATCAAGAAAGAAAACCCAACAAAAACACCAAGCGATTGTACACAAATTGAATATAAGCAAGTGCCAGTCCTGGGCTCAGAGCTGCACCTTTAGCAAGAAAGGGCAGACTCTCAGCAGCTTGACAGGTCACACTTTGGGTAGTAAGGGATGAAACATTAAAAGTTCTAATTAAAGAACTGCACCGACAGCTCAGCTGTCTTCACAGTGCACTCAGATACGAGCCCATCTGACGTAGCTTAGTCCAACTTAATTAAAGGGGGTCTCACAGCTGTATGGCAATCCTCATTTTGGAGGAGAAAATATCCCCTTCCTCGTCGCCCCCTTCTCAAAGAAAACACAGCACCAAAAGTATATGCGCCAACTGATATATGCAAGGTGAAATCCAAGTAAAATTGCAGCACAGATAAATATCCTAGACTATGGATTTGTCTAAGTGTCAGGGGAATAAACATCTATTTTTTACAGAAAAAGACAGGAGAAAATTATCTGTTAGATGTAGTTTAGAGTCCAGTGACAATCTACATCTTAAGTTACTAATAACAATTTCAGAGCACTGTGATAATCTTACTTGAAGGGTTTTTGCAATCTAACCTCCTGAACATGGACTTTGATAGTTTGACTTCAAAGTTAAATGGCATAATCCACGGTCAGCGAAAAGAAGAATCTGTAAATTCCCTTGTTGGTGCCTTTGGAGAAGCCGCTAACTCAATGGAGCAGTAGAGGGAAACAGGGAGCATGAAAATTTTAAGAAGAAAATGAGTTTCTGCATTGATTCAACTGGATTTACATAAGTACTGCCAGTAATAGCAAAAAAAAAAAAAAAAGATAAAACATTAAATGAAAGGTGCAGAACTAAGAAAGAATACTCTAGTTACCGTATAGATGGTTTACACTGAATAGAGTTAGAATACAAGTCCCAGTCACTATCAGGAATAATTTTTTTTAATAGATAAGATACTGTTCAATTATCTCACGTCACTGATACAACATGTTTAAAAATTGTTAAAATTGAATTGTTAAAAAACTCAGTTTAAAAAAAATCTTATTTCTTCATCTGCAGAGGATTTTCCTCTCCTTCACCACCTTTCAGATAAGCCATCTCAATAATTCACACATTATCAAAAACCCCCACACACTAACATTTCTGAAGATGGAATTGTTAGGGCAATGCCTTGTATGATTTAGGTATGTAAGTAACTGACATTTTCTGCATGAAAGTTCACGGAAGGGCACATTAAATTACACCCTGCAGATGCACTGTGCAATAGTCTATGGACTACATGTTTCCTCTAGGAAAAAAAAAAAATTAAAAAAAGGGAGCAGGATTAGATACATACAACCCAAGGCACAGATAAATGCTGTTCAATTTATCCACTAAGGGGTAGATTGATTTGAATGTTTTGCCCAAGTGCAGAAAGAATGGAATTAAATTTATGACAAAATACTTCCTTTCTTCAGGATACATTTGCTCAATCTTGAAGGCATATAGAGCTAACAAAAAAAAATCCCTTAGGAATACATAAAGAAGAAATCTTCCTCCCTCAATTTCATTTAGCTTTCTCCATTTGATGCATTTTCAGATATTAATTCATGTTTGCTACCACCTAAATTTGTTTGGACCATGATTCCACCTACAATACTTAATTTACTGTGCCTATTTGAGATAGTGGCAGTACGCTTTCTGAAATTACAAAAATAAAAACACAACAATCACTGGAACCAGGCCGTCCCTCAGAAATGGTGGGATAAAACAAAAGTTTCCAAAGGCTACCAGAAATGACATGATCTCATACTTTAACTCACTGGGCAGAATGAAGGAAGTTTAGCTTTTTCTACCAGAAGCAGTCTAGATATTTTGTAACCCACACATACTTATAAACTCACTACATGGGAAATACATGTACTCATGTGAACCCGTAACTAAACAAGAGCACAAGTGGCACTGCCTGATTGCTAAATCGAAGTGTGGGCTGTGAATTCATACACCTCAATTTAGCTTTACTTTGAGAGAAATCTAGCCAACAATGAAACCTGAGAGACAAATGGGTGTTGAGGACTGGATTACAGTTCAGAAGTCCCAGGGACAGAGCTGAGTAAGCAGTATAGCTGTGTCCTTAGAGCATCACAGCTAAAGTAGACAGTCCTATGTTAACAAAGCCTTGATTCATTCAGCTGGTGAGCTGCTGTTCCCGTACAGTGCTGCACTGTCAGAATGATATCTTAGCAGGCTTCCAGCTAGGTTCAAGCTAGCTGAAAGGGAAGAACTCTGCTTACAAGCCTCTGGGCACTATAGTCATGGTGTTACACACCCTGCACTGAATTCAGTGTTAGGTTTGTCTGAAAATAACAGGTAAAGTCAATGAAATAATTAAATTTTCTAAGCCATAGTGG